TTTGAAGGCAGTGCCATTATAATAGGGATCTGTTACTAATCCATTTCTACTCCATGACTGAATTCCAAAAAGGGGTGTTTTGCACTTTGGTTGATTTAACCAAAAACACCACATAATTTCATAATGATAACTTGTATGATCATCCATGTAACTGAAATGTTGCTCTAGAAAGACATGCATAACAAAGCCTGGTACTGCACAAGCATCTGCAGCTGTATCTGTGGCATAGCAGTCACATTAGTCAGCCAGGCCACCCTGCACTTATTAGACACCGACTAGTTTATTATCTCTGTGCACACTGAGGGAAGAGGAGTCTGACCACTGCCACCTGGGTGATACCATTTAATTAGCTTCAGTAGAGTTATGTTCAGTTTAATAGATGCAGGGTGTTCATGAATCCTTTCCATGAATCTACACGGGATTTTTAATTTTTTACTTTTATTAAGACTTTGGGAGGATACTTTGCTGTCTATATGCTTTAATGTTTGTGCAGTGAGCTTGAGGTGTGTGTATAACATGAATTGTCAAAATGTGTTGTAACTCATTTTAAACAAACCTCTGAAGGATCATTTACACACAGATTTGTTGTGCTGCTCCCACTGTTGCTTATTACAATCACAAAACCAGTTTAGGAAATAGTTTGCCATCATGTCTCCTCTGCTGTGCTTTTTGCTTCACACATTAAATACCTGCGGACCATCAGAATCATTTGTAGGACAATACAAAGACTTTAGTGATTGTGTTTAATTGCCTTGTAACTTGTTTGGTTGTCCTGAAAGGAGATGGTAACTCCATCCATTGGACCTTTCATTGTGTTATTGTGTTTCATAAACACGTCAGTGCTGTTTCTCTTCTGTGTTATTTACCCTGGGGCAGTGTCACTATGGCAACCCAGGCCTATTTTAGGGGACTACATGTTGTCCCTGTAGTTTCATTTCACATAGCCTAACATACTGTAGGATCTCGTAGAGAGCCAGCACAGAGTCATGTAACCCAGTAAATATCAGCTGTAGTTAACGTGGTGCTGTGTATCATATTCTGATTATCTTGCAGTATTGTGGAAGCAGCATGTACGGTACTGCCTCTGAGGATTTAGCACTAGTTTGAGTAACACTCGCTGCTTTTTTTTGTACTTTATCTTTACAAAATAATACTGTTCAAAATTCAGGCATGTAAACGAGAGAAGATATGCCTTAAACAGTATGTTTTGTAAGATGATGACGTTATTCTGTTTGTATTGTGTCAAAGTTTAGCCTTTTGTCTGTTCTCTGTTCACTGTTTACACAGTAATCCTAATGATTTAAGATATATCAGTATTTCAAGAGAAAAAAAGATGTGTGTATATATGGATGGCAAAAAAACTATTAACTTTTGTGTTTTCAGTGTGTTGTCTGTCTAGAGATGTTGACACAAGGGGGCGCTCTTACTCTTCCATAACAAGCAAGTTTGCTTTGGCTCTTTGCTGTTTAATGGTAGGCAGTTTGTAAAAAAAAAAAAGAAAGAAAAAAGACCTATTGTGTCAAAGGCTTTTGTAATTATTCTCTTTTAATTTCAACACAGGTAAATTGAATTTGAATGCTCATTCATATATCAAGCTGTCGTAAAAGTGAATTAGTGCCTACATGAGTCGCTTCCGCATTTAATTACTTCTTTTCTGCTCGGAACGAGGGCCAACAGCTGGCTTCAGCTCACTGCCCAGGTCTGAGGGTTTTCATTCCTTTCTTCGCCTCAGATTTATTCATTGACATGTATTCTGTTTCTTCTCTCTTTCCTGCGAAAACCAGAGCACAGAGAGAAGAAAAACGGTCAGAAACAGAAGGCCATACAAATGACTTGATTGTGTTCCTTTAATAGCTTAATGAAAAACTGCCGGAGAGCTGATCCAGCCATTACAGCCAGGTCATCAGTATGCAGCGCCTCACTACAGGAGTTCCATTCTGTCCTACTGCTTATACACAGGCTACCACCCAGCTAGCCAAATGGCTCTGATAACTCCCATCCAGCCATCCTCATGTGTCACTTCCCTTTTTCACCTTATATGTACCTTACCCCTCCTTTTTCTGTCCATCCTTGCTTTTCTTCCACCTAAAGAAAAATGGCAGATATTGTCCCAACTTGTGTTCTAGCAGCACCTCCCCTCCACTAATTTCCTGGAAGACTTCTTTCTTTCTCTGCTTCTTGGCTTTTACCTTTCAGTAGCCCTTCCTGAAATAAGACTTAAGGCAGTGTCAGAAACACAAGATGAAGTGTGTTTGGATCCAGAGCTGTGAGGAGCACTAATGTTCATTTAACAGATAGATTTCACTGCTTCACACTACATATTGCGAGAATTAAAGTCAGTTCCGAATCCCCTCCTATAGCCATCAAAGCAGGCCTCTGTGTGCAGCAGGCAGAGACAGGGCCAACACCGCACAGTCTATATTGTATAAACAGACAAGTAGTGCAGGTCATCCACTTCCTTTGAGCATGGTCTCATCTGGTGCTGTTGACAGATAGCTTTATCCAGAATGGGCAGGTCCAAGCCTGCTGCAACAACTTACTGAAAACCGTCTGTCCCTTCCTCTGTGTCTATGTGAGATGTTTTTCAGTTTGTTTTTCCCCTCCTCGCTTAGGGTTACTATGAGGTTCATCCATCATTTTCTCTGTAATTACCCCACCTTCTATTGTTTTCTCAACACCCTGCCCAGACATTTTGGAGCATTCTTTATGTAGCTCACACCCCAGGTAGGGGAATTATTTTGGGTTAGGTATGTTGATTACTGTTTCACTAATGTGCTTTTGACCTGAGTTTGACACAGCAGTGGAGTAGCATTAAATGCACATGCTGTCCTTTGTGGTGACCTGCAGTCCATCTTCTCCACATCGCTGTGATTGAAGCTTACTTTTACGCACTTTTTTCCACACTGTGTCTTCCTCCCAGTTTGCTTCACAAGAAACCTGATATGCTCGTGTAAAGGGCAAATCTGCTTCTCACACAGTCACTATCACCCCATCATCACCTCCCCTCTCCCACATCTGGGGGTATTGACTGGCATCGAAGGAACCCACAGCCTGATCTCATCTGCTATCTGCAGGCAGACACTCTTCAGACTGCTTAGAAATGATTTCCATCCCTCGTCTCAGCCTCTGCTGTTGCTTGAACTGCTTCTTGCCCCTGATGTTTACACACTGTGGTTGGCTGCCAAACTGTGCTGGGGCCCCTGGTGGGGGCTCCAGGTGATGTTTATGTTGAAGGTATTCAGTCCCCACTGCTTTATCTGATTTCATTTAGACGAATCTCACAGTATTCCACTGACAATGGCCTCACCTCACCACAGCACCACATTGCTGCCATTTAAGAAAGGCATTCATGAGTAAAGCTGGGACCAGGAACTAGACTGGGGCGACATAGGGGAACAACAGGATCTCTGGAACATTACCACGTGATGACAAACTCTTATCGAGTCCCAGTAATGACTTGCAGACAGGATAATCTTTTAAAAAGCTCCTATCTCTAAACCAGTTCTTTTGTGGCTTCCATGTGTGTTTGTTGCGGTCAGGGTTGTTATTTGCAAAAGCAAAGAGGAATCAATGAGCGCATTGTGTCAGAAGCGTGGCGATGCCTGTGTCAATTACAGCAGTGTGGTCTGCTGCTCTTGCACATGCTTTAACATGATTCCACACTATTCCACAGAGAATGATCAGGTTTGTGTGTGTGGGAAAGAGAAACATGCTTCACAGTGGGCTGTGCAGACCTCATTAGACTAACGCAACTAGGTACAGTAGAAGATTTATCTGATATTAATGTCATGTATAATTGGAACACCTCACTGCTATGTCAACAAGCCAAGAAGAAATGGTTGAAAGATCTCCTCCTAAGCTGTTGTTATCGAAGCTTAAGTCACATCCGGACTCTCTGGTGACGGCATGTAAATGGTCTTATACTTGTATGGTGCTTTTCTACACTTTGCAGTACACTACTTGGCCATTCTCACTCACACACCGGTGCTATCACCAGGAGCAACTGGGGGTTCAGTGTCTTGCTCAAGGACACTTCGATATGTTGACTGGACAAGCCGGGAATTGAACCACTGATCCTCCGGTTAGGAAACAACCCACTCTATCTCCTGAGCCACAGCCGCCCCCATGTGTGCTGCTTGTGTGTTTTATGAGTAAATAGCATTTAGACACTGCAGAGAGTTCCCATTAGTGGTTGTGAAGTTAATTAATATCAGCTATACAATAAGATTGTAAGACATACTGTAAAGAATGCACCAATACTTAACATTGCACCTATTGGGGAGAACACAAAGTTAAGCCTGGTCTACTATACACAGACGTGAGAGAGCCCCAGGAGGGTCCAGAAATTCAAACTATGCCTCTGTCTAATCCCAAAATGTGCGTTTTTATGCATTTCAGTGAATGGTAATAGAGATGCCACCATTGATCTTCTTACAGTGAGGCCCGTCCCCATGCTTATTGCCACTGTCCTTTGGGAGACTAGAGCAGGGCTGATTATGAAGAGAATGACCTCTTTTAAGCTGCTGTATGCTCGGCCAGCTGGGCCCAAGAGGCAGAAACAATGGTATTCACTGTCATCAATAGACAGTCAGAGCCAGAACAGCATGTAAAGGATACCTGCTCTGCAGCCGACTAATTTCCTGTATTATTGGTTGTGTTCTGTATATGTGTCGTCTGAAGCTGTATATCAGTGATCATGTGCTCAGTGCTTCAGTGTAATCCCAGGTTAACTGTCCAGGCCTCTTTCCTGTGAGTGCAGGGAGGCTATTCTGCTGTGTTTGGGTTATCTGTGGAGCTGCATGTTTTTGTTTCTAGTCAAGCAAAGTACATGTTTCCTCCCTGTGTAGTCTGATCGGACACACTGGGCCTGTGTATGAGAGCAGGGCCGTGGGGGACTCTGGAGGTTCAGGAGCGGTGGGCTGTTTTGCTGCAGCCCAGGCAGGCCTTCACTCCTGGGGA